TGACTTGGTTTCATTTAGTAAACGAATAGAAGACTCGACTCGTTTAAGTTCATGAATTCTCGACTCAGTTCGTTTCATAAAACCAAAAACTCATTTCAGAATATGTTCGCAAAATGTTCGGTGTCGAAGAAATTCTCCTCAACTGTGGAGTAGAAATGCTGGTAGGAAATCGGGCTATATCATTAAAAAAAGCATACAAAAAATAGTAAAAAATGAGTTTTCGCAAAATGTTCAGTGTCGAAGAAATTCTCCTCAACTATATCATTAAAAAAAGCATACAAAAAATAGTAAAAAAATGAGTTTTCAAATAAACTCATGAGTTGGTTTGTTTATAAACGAGTTTAATTAATTCTTCGTGTTCAACTCATTTGGAATAAATGGATGAGTTGATTTTTTACGAGTCAAGTCGGACTGAACATGAGCTGTCTAAGCGAACTAACTCTATTCGACTAACAAATCCATTTAAAGGAAAATTTACTGTAAATTAACATGATTTATGTGCTAAAATGATTTTAGTTTTAAAAACAAAAATCCCAATAAATGAAAAATGAAAGGTTATATTTGCAAAATTGGTACGAAAAAAAAAAAAATTAGGAGACACATTTTCGAATGAAGTAAATGAGTTACGGAGACTTGGTCTCGTATCTATGTGTGTGGGGCTCACCAATTTGCATACATTATAAATTGTCATTTTCCTATGATTTTATTACAAATTGCCACGCAATAGGAAATGCATTAAGTATTGTAAGACCTTAGGATTGTCCAAGTGAAATTTAAAATTAAATCACCTATTTTCCTAATCATACTATTTGTTATATACAAATTATTACGGGCTTAAGTGAATCGATTCGTCATAATTTTTAACAAAAATATAATTTATATATTATAAAAATACAAACATCTATTGAAAAAGTATGATTATACAACCATTAGACATTCCTAATAATAGTATATTTATTACATATGATTAGTCAATAAAAATACAGATACTATATTTTTTCATTAGATTTGTCTAACTATTATACAATATTGCAACATTATTATATGTATTGTGTGTGAGATTACAATAGCTATAATCACATTGTGATAGGTGCTTGTCCGTTTCATGTTTGTAGATCGGCCATAATGTGGGCTCATTTTGTGGACAATTTTTCCACAACAATATCTCATTTTGATTGATTATTATTTATTTATTAATGGTACACATAATTTTTATATATAAATATACAAAAATGGAATAACATTGGTTACTAAAATGCCACGTTACAGTACGATATACAAACAAAATTTTGTCATTTTCGCTGTGAATTATTGAATTAATTGCATTACGTACAAAAGGTGTACTTATTTCAACGAGTCCGTAGGATATGTTAATGCAGATGTTATTCAATGTCATTTATTACTCTTAATGGGCTGTTTTAGTTGTATGTTTTAACAAAAATAATTAAAAAAAATTATAAATGTTTATTCTGATCTCTAATTATGTGTTATAAGGAATAGTGTGAAAATGGAAGGATCCAAACTGTAGTTTATACTTTATAGGGGATATTTATTGATACACGTATGCAGTTTATTTCTCAATTTCAATGGATTTGATTATATCAAATAGCAATCACCATATGTGTTGATATTATTATTGATATTGTTTTATAGAGCAAATTAAGATGGTAATTATAATTTTCATTCTTCTGGAGTTCCAGAGCTATAAACTGAGTAGACCCAAACTCGAGTTTATAATATTTGAGTTGGTTTTCGAGCCTCGGCTATATAACGAGCCTTAACAAGCAAATTCGAGTTTTTCCTAGCCAATGTATGATAAAAGCTTGGAAAATTACATGAAGATCTTTCATTTCAAGTCTAACAATAGGTCAAGTCGAGCCGAGCAAGACTCGTTAACTATACGAACTCGAGCTCAAATTGCTTGTGAAAAAGGATGAACTCCACTCGAGCCTTAACAAGACAAGTTGATTCTACTTTGTCTAAAAGCTCTAGTCACAATTGTCCTGGGAAACGATTTCTAATTTCAAGAGATTATTTCAATTTATATTTTGTTTCGTTGGATGATTAACATGCGTATAATTGTAATAATATTATAAAAGACACATATTATTCGTTCAATGTAATTAAAAATGAGTTTAAATATAATTTTGGAATAAGAAATCTCACCTTAACACAACTACACGAACCTTTTGCAAATAATAATAATAATAAAAAAAAAACAACTAACCGTAAAGGGAAGAAAAAAAAAGAGAGGCGTGTTTAAGCCACTTTTTCTTCTTCTACAGGCCCAATCCATCTCTTTCGTGGGCCACTTAAATAATCTCATGGTGTGACCACACGTGTGTTGCTTTCACTTTAATTAAAGATAATAATAAATCTACCTGTAATTAAAAGTTCTAATTACTACTTTTGTTTATTTATCGGGATCATCAATCAAGTTGGTTTTTGTCTTTACTTTTGAAGCAAAAGATAAAAGAACAAAGATTTACGATTTGCTTTATTTCCTTTGGGCTCTATTAAAGTGAAACCACATCATTTTCTTCTATTATTAGGGAACCAAAAAACAAGAAGAAATCACACTTTAAAATGTAACGATTTGCTTTGCTAAATTTGACGTCAATTTAGGTATAAATATTTTTTGTGTGTGATGCTTTTATCGAATATTTCATTCTTGTATAATTTTATAAGACGAGGCGTTTTGCTTAGATAGTTTTCAGTACATAACACATTTTAAGTACGTCAATAATAATCTTTCTGAGGATAACTTCGGTTCAGAAATTTGTTTTAGACTTAATATTGAAATGATTTCAGAGTACGAGTCCTATGTTTAACCACAAAAGATTTTGTGTAATAAATATATGGACCATCGAGATTCAGTTCTCTTGAAGGGAATTCATTGATGAGTAATTTCCTTTGGCACCATCAATCATTGTATTCAAATTATGATCTCTAATGGTCCTTTATGTTGTAGTCATAATTATGCATCTTTCTGAAAAATTATTATCAAATTTAATAAGAGTTCAACAAAATTGAATGATCACTTAATTTCATCCAATAGTAGTTTAAATGACAATATAACCTCTTAAATATGTATATATTTTTTTATATATATATATATCCAACTAGTACGAATCGAGTAGTAGCGGCTTCTATATATATAAATATATATATATATATATATATATATATATTTATCAATTTTTTTTTTTTAACTGAACTTCGCTTCGCTTCGTTTGCATTGTCGACCGCATTCGTACTTGCAGTCCTCATAGCGGACATCTTCCCTCTTGAATTTCTTAAACTACGTAAACCACTTACTGCATTCGTTTTCTTCTCCTTTCGTTTTCTTCTTTCTTTTTCTTGGTTGGCAGCGTCATCGCAAATACTTAGGTGTACCTAGGCACACGGTAGTAGCACTGTAACGTCATGGCCTTTCTCTCTGGCTACACATCCTCTTCTCCTTCGTCTCATCTCCTTTATAGTCGAGCATATGTTATAACATTTCCTTCACTTCGCTTCGCTTCGTTTGTACCCTATTTTGCCTATGTAATTTTTGTATTGAATTGAAATTTTTAAAGACTTTTACGGTTATGATATATTTAATTTGAACTTTTTGAGATTCAATTGATACTTTTAAAGGCATTTCATAAAA